TTATCAAACAAAATGGTAGTTGCAACAAGTCGATAAATTGCAATCATCACTTAGATTAGTAGTTTTTAATCATTTTATGGTCGTGTCCCCATACACATGCCATTTGTACACTGTTGTGCGAAACTTAAGCAACAATGTAAATTTTAATCAGCTAGCCATGAAATTGCAAAAAAGGGGTTCTTGCGATCAGTACAATGAAGACGCAATTCAGTCGAAAGGTCATGCGTATGCAAATGTCAGGAACAAAAAGTCACAGGCGACGTGAGCGTACGCAAAACGCGTGCGGTCGGTGCGCTCAACTCAAGACTACAATAATAGGAAGGACGGAGACGCAATTAAAGGCACTCGCTGCAAGCGCAAGTTAGTTCTTCGTGAAATATGGCTATAAGATATCCCCTGGATGACTTCACACTTGGAAGAATGACAGAATAGCTTAAGGAGAAGCATAGCATGACCAGTGTAACTGAAAAGTTCGAAATTATTAAAAGTGTCGTTTCGCGCGCTTGGAAAGCCGTCCAAACCATAGCTACAGCTGTTAGAAAGGTTATTGGTAGCCGCCCGCAGGAAACCAACAGCAGCGGATGACCGATATATCGCCCTGCAAAAGGCGAAAAGAACCCGAAGCCAGTCAGCAAGCGCCATAGCTCAGCAACTGTGTCCAGACGCCCTCACAAAGGTGGCCTATTCACCCGGCGTCCTGAATGCAGCATCGCTTTGAAAATTGGCCATCGGCGCCACCGTTTAGTGTGGTGAAAGGAGCATAAAAACTGGACATCTCATCGATAGTGTCCTCTTTGAGGATGAGAGTCGTTTTAGTCATAAGTGACTCTCAACGCCAGTTGATTTGGAGAGATGTCGGGACACGGCTTCATCTCAGTAGCATCACGGAAAGAGACCATTACGGTGGCCTTGGAGTTCTCGTCTGGGGAGACATTATGTTGAACAGGCGGACAGAGCTCCACGGTTTCGACAGAGGTTCTGTAACCGGAAATCGCTATTGCCAGGAGGTGATCCTTCACCATGTGCGTCTGTTCCGAGGTGTCATTGGAGCACTTTATTTTTATGGATGACAATTCATGGCCACACGGAACTCTTGCTGTTCAGAAGCTAGTGGGAAGTTAAGATATCACTCGAATGGTTTGGCCAGCGTACCCCTGATTTAAATCTCATACAACATGTGTGGAGTGCTTTGGGAAGACGCCTTGCGACACGTTTACATCCTCCGGGGAACACCCAACAGCAGAAACAGATGCTGATTGAGGAATGGGCACTCTTAACTCAAGACCTCTTGGACAATCTGGTGCTACGAATGGAGAGACGGTGCGAAGCAAACATTATAGTAAGGGCAGATCATATCCCATACTAAGAAACATCTGCTTGTTGTTCTTCCTCTTGTATAGACAATCATGTGTAACGATACTATGAGTTCAATAAAGCTTTTCTTGTTTGATTCCAAACTGTATGGCATCGTATTCATTTTTGCACAACTATGCTTTTGTCATAGTTTAAATACAAAATGCTGTCTCTCATTTCTGAATTTCATGTCTCTCAGATCATATCTGGTGGAGTTATGGCAAAAAGAACACATGTTACTTAAGTTCTGCACACCAATGTAGTTCGTAGTCCGCTACGCACAACAGTCTAAAGTCACAATATTTAAAGAGCTGGAATCTTAATTTTTAATTTAATGTTGTAAATATTTAACTAGCTTTTACTCTATATTATAGTTACAGCTACATAATCTATGTGACAGTTATAGCTACACATATGACAGTTTACATTTGAAATCAAAGTTAAACACCTTGCATTTTCCCGAATGCCAACTCAGTGGTGTGTGAAAGATAAAAAATATTTTATTTCGGGCAGGAGGAACATATTACTTTTAAACCGCTGAGTTTCTTGATTAAATCTGAAAGACAAATAATTTAAGATATGCCGAATGGCAATGCGTTTCTTTCAATTCGCTGAGTTTTCTGATTAAATTTGAAGCATAGGTATGTTACGTATTTCGCCGAGTGGCAACACATTGCTTTTAAATCATTGAGTTTGTCAATCAAAATTTCATTAAATTCCCCTAAAACATAAAATCACTTAGACAAAAATTCGAAATTTAAAGTTTTACCCTCCAGGTGCAGTTCGGGCGAAGGAATACGTATGTCTTTGGTGACTGTAGATGCTATCGTTTTCCAAAATGCAACGAACATGTATATATGCATACATACAAAATCTTCCTTATTTAATAACAAAGATTTCCACAATAATAGATAGCGCATAAACCACAATAGAATAAATGCACTCTTTAAAATTCACTATATTTGTTTACCGCAGCGACATTCTGCGATAGCTTCACTTAATAGTGTTACATTTCGTTCATATTATAACTCAGAATGCACAAAACTTTTATCATTTGAAGAATTATCTAATCGTTGCCGCATATTCTATTCAAATACTATAATAAATCTAGAACGATGTATAAAAAAGAAATCAAGAAAACAAACAAAAAATAAACAGTTTTTCACAGATGATTGAGTATTTTTCATTCAATTAATTCAGTTCTCACTTCGCGTCAAGGCAAAAATACATGAAAACTCAAAATATCTATCATATTAAAAATTACGAAGTAAATCTTAAACACTTATTTCCTTGAATAAATTCCAGAATGGATTAAGCATGAAAATAAAGGCTAGGTAAGAACTTTTAAGCCGAGTGTGTGTGTGTGGTTATATAGAGATAAATATAGATATAGATATGTAAACGTTTGGCACTGTAGACTGCAGTAAAAAAAAAAAAAAAAACAGATGCGCACAACTATATGTTATAGCCATCCCATACACAAAATTTCAACGCCATAAGGCTAATGTTCTTTGAGTTATGCAAGGTACATATGTAAGTACGTATGTACAGACGTCACCAATAAATCCATTTTTAATCCATTTTGCAAAAAAGATTCCTTTATTCTTTCCGTATGTAAAGACGATATGAAAAAAAAAAAAAAAAAAAGTCCAAATAATTTTGGGAATGGTCAAAATGAACATTTCCGTTGAAATATGATACCCCAAAAATTTTTGCCATTAAAATACTACCTTTACTTCATTCAAAAATATAAAGACACGGAAATCATAAAATAATCCAAGCTCTATAATTTACATTTATTAATGTAGTGCATTTGCACTTGAGTATGCTTTGGAAAAAAGAATCAAACTTCAAAATTAATAATAGTATGTACTAACTTTTTGTAGTATTTAACAGGAGTTTATATTTATGGAATCTTTCAATTCAATGAAATTTTTTAAAAATTACTATGAAAAATGGATAGACAATATTAAAAATTGACACTGTCAAGATTTCTATTAATTTGTTTAAATTTCGAAGTAAAATATTTTTACTGTTGTTATGATTTTGGATGCGTTTGTATGTAAATTTATCTAACATTTGATTTATTTCAACATTTTAAATTTAATTTTAAAATATTAAATTCGGGCAATGAGCTAACTTTTTATCTTCAGCTTTAGACATGGCTCCAGTAAGTTAATTTTTAAAATTTTTCCTCCGTTTAGTTTTCTATATTTCTGCGCCAAAATATTTCTTTATTTAAAATTTTTCGCGTCATGCAATAAAATTATCATCTTACACTAGCAAAAATTTTCTTTAGCCAAAATTTTACCTTTATGCTCAGCGCCTCCTGAGGTCAAACTATTTTTTAAAAATCTCATCTTAAAAATTAAAATATCTTGATAATTTTGAAGTATTTTACGTTAGTAGAAACTATTAGTAGAAACTACATAAACTATTTTATTCAACTAATCATTTCCACGTATTTTCGCCAGTCTTACGACGTTCATGATTTTCCCTAGTGCGTGCTGCTATCTAGTGGCAAATTATTGAACAAAAAGGACATTATTCTCGTGAATTTTTTGTTGTTTTTTTTATTTGCAGTCAGAAAGCTAAACAAAAATAAATACACTAAAATGATATGATTTTTTACTATTCCCTTACTTTTGCTCTCAAACATATATGATATATTGTTGTTTTCCTACTTTCATTTCATGTTAGAATTTTTTAAATTAAGCTGTTATGAATATTATTTAGGTACTATGAGATATAGCTTATCGTTGACCGTCGATCATGCATACAACCATTAACCAGTAGACCGTGATGCTCTTGACCATTGATGGTTAAATATGTAACAACCGTACAGCGCGAAAGAATTATTCGTAACCTTCCACCACTTCCTGACTTGATTTTCAATTCTGATTTTATCAGTGTATGGTTTGGTTTGGTTTATTACGAGATTACGTAATTCGTAGATTACGGCAAAGCTCTCGAGGGCTATCTGCCTTAAGGGAGGGATGCCTTCGTGGAGGACGTTTTAAGGGAAACTGGCTCGTATACACGTTACACATGGGGAAAACCACGAAAACACCCATGCAGCCAGCCCGTTCGCGGGATTCGAACCTCGGACCGAACTACCAGTGTTCAGCGACGTTACCGCTCGGCCGCTGGTGGGCATTTATCAGTGTATGATTGGGTATGAAGTTTTGATTAGTCTGCTCGATTATCTTGCTTGAAATCTTATAATTTGAGTAATAATAATTTAGTAATTTTCCTTTATTACTTCTACTCTTTCATGGAATAACAAACATAAAAAATATTATTTCATATTAGTAGGTGTTAAACAACCACATGTTCGTCAATCGGTACCACAATGAGCAATCATTTGTCAGGACAATCATAACTCAAACATCCGGCTATGGGCCAAATGAGTTGTCGGCTGGATGGATGCCAGTCGAATAAATAGTCATCGAATAGGCTATCGACTAATCGACTTGGATCAAATGTCATTCAGTTACAAGATTTACTACGCTTAAAGATGAATACCTACGGTTTAAAAATATGCAAGTACTCGAGTCTTCATCACTAATATATTATGAGTTATATAAGGTTGAATGAAATATTTAAAATTAAAATTGTCTTCATATATGTAACTATTTTTATTTTAGGTAGAGACGCAGAAGTCATGCCGTTATGTGCAGTGTGCTCGCTATTTTGCCTCTGTGTGCAGTGATTGTGGGTTTCTTCTGTTTTGTGTTGCAGTTTATCGCCTTGCCTTCTGATGAATGGGGGCACTTCTCAACGAGGAAGATACGAGGTAAAATGCTTCTTCATTTCAGCCTCTCGCTACAGTTGAAAATATAGAGTGTTATGCATTCTTAACGCTGAATGGGATAAAAATAAGCATTCATCATCTTCATTGCTCTCTTTTGTTTGTCCTGTCATACTAGATCAAGACAGCTTATTAAATGACAAAGACTCTGAAGACATACTTCGGCCAGATAAGAATATCTTCGCAGAGGACTAACTAAACGAGAACTAGATACATGATGTACGTATGTGTGTGGAGAAAAACAACCGAATCTCCTTCATCCTGAACAATGTATAAGAAGTCGTTCAGGATTCTAAAAAAAGTTATTGTAAAAATTTAAAAGCTTTCTTGCTTAATTTGATCTAGATCAGGTGTCTGCAATCTTGTAGCTGTAGTGTGCCAAACCAATCTGCCAATATGATTCAGGATTCCGCAGAGTAAGAATTAGTTGAAACGATTCGATTCTCGCGGCAATGCATGCAGAGTTAGGGAATTCAGGACAAGAATTCAGATTTTGAGTTCTATTATATATTAATTATGCATCATTTAAAGGTAATTATTAATATAAAAATAAGCAACATAAAACATAACTATTCTTCAACATAAATAAAATATTTAAAACTATACATATATTATATATAATGTGTTTAGGAATAAAACCACAGAAAGCGGACTGTATCATTTATTTATTTACGCATACACTTTCAAATAAAACAAATGCCATCCGCATTTTTGACACCGCATTTTTGATGCACACATCACTCAAAGCACTGTAGCAATAATAAAACATATAAATCACGTATTTGACATGTTCGTTACCCCCATAGCAACCATAATTGAATCAAGAGGCAGTAGCGCCATCTATTGTTGCAAATACACACTAGAAATTTGTTTGGTAACAAAAATACTAAACATAATGTATCTTTTAAATATATTTATTAAAATAAAAGGTAAACGGCATAAAATAAAACATAAGCATTCCTCCGATATATTTAAATAAAAAAAATAATGCTCCTGTACCGCTCTACTTAATATCGCAATATCAGGGGCATAATTTCTGACTTCAATTTGACATAGGATTCTTAATATTCATTCTTTAATCTTTAAACTTTTTTGTGGACTCAAAATATTTTTCACACGATACAAGATTGGTTCACATAGAAGTGGGGAACCGAAAGCGGAAAGCAGAGCACAGGCAATATTTTTTCAAAAAATTAAATCTCTCTGGGACTGACGTCCAGGAATTCAAAATAGCTGTCGACTTATTGTTAAACTTCCAGATTTTTTCATAATTCCAAAAATTTCGTTTTCCATAATTCTGAAGATGTTAGTTTAATAACTTCTATTTTAAAATTATACTCAAAAATTCCCAAATCAGATGGGATTATTAATGGGTCTATTAAATCCGGTTTGAATGGAAAGGAAAATATAGGCATACAAGCTTCATAGTCTTTGCATCTTTTGGGAAATTCCTCCTTAAGTACTTCAACGTAGATCTGAAGTTCATTTTTTTCGAAGATCGATATATTAGCAAGCGCTTTACATTTGGGAACTATTTATAGGTACTATATTAATATTAAAAGAAACTTTTATAGCAAAGCCTTTCCAATGTTAAATAAGTTCAGGCACTGTTCGGCCCTTTCCTTGCAGTCCTTAGTTCATTGAGATGTTTAGTTATATCGGTTGTAACATATACACACCTCTGACACACAGCTGCTTAATGAGAAGAACTTCCTATTTTTGTTCAGAGACTAATCGTCAGTTAGAACTTTGAGGAAAGGTGTTGCGGAAATTCCCATGTGCGGTTTCCGCACATAAGGGACTTAGTAATTACCCCATTCCAAGTATTTCCGATAAGAGTTAAAAAAAAAAAAAAAAAAAAAAAAAAAAAAAAAAAAAAAAAAAAAAAAAAAAACCCGAAAGAGAGGATCTTTTGTATGAGTTTCCTGTGTAGTGAAAGACTCGGAAGAAGACGCCTTCCAGCGTCGTGTCTGCATCCAGCGGCCATTGTGTGAATTATAGGCCATTGTGTGAATTATAGGCCATTGTGTGAATTATGGCTGCAATGGTTGATTATGTTATTTAATAGTAATCAAGAAACTCGTTAAAGTTTTTTAAATAAATATTTAAAAGACAACTGTACTTTTCTTTCATCCAACACGGGTGTTCAGACGTTACACAGTCAGAAACTTCAATTTGCATAAGCATTCTTTATCGTTCGATTCGGGGAAATGTTGATTCTTCTCATTAAGAAAAACTTTAGTGTCTTCAATGCATGACACAATTTTATTGAAGACGTTACTTCAACTAAGCCAACAGACATGGCTGTACAAGGGGAGATCCACACATTCGCTTTCCATTTCTTCTAAAAGAGATTTAAATTGCTGTTGTACCAATGAAGAACGAGACACTATGAAAATTAACTTTTTTAACAGCAGTGTTCATTACAGAAATTAAGCTCTGTGACGTTTTTTCAGCAACTAAACTTTCCTGACGACGTGGAGAGGAGAGACAGGGAGGTTTACCTTTGCCTGATAATTTTGTAGAATGGTGCAGAGTGTCACGAAAAATAGTGGCACGCGTGCCATAGGTTGCTGACACCTTATCTAACTGAGGGGGGAAGCACTAAATCTGAGATCTATAATGACATTGGTAAGAAAAGAGAATTAAAACATTCCTGCACGTTTCCTCTGTTTCGATCTTAGCCGTAGCTGTTACACATTCACTGTTAACCAACGATATTAGACTCTAGTCTTCCGTCATGCATTTAATTAAAATGGGACTGAAAGGAATTTCATGAGAATACCTAAATAAATCATGTTAAAGTTTTAATTTAATTAAAATGGGGATTGAAATGGTTTTCATGAGAATACTTAAAGAAATCCCATTAAAGTTTTAACATGCTTCGTAGGATAAACACTGATAATATTTATCTGATGAGTGTTTTATACCCTGTTCTTTCGTTCATTGTTGGAAAGTGTAGTAAAGAAAGAATAATGTGAAGTCAAACAGAGATTAACTGGTTTTTATCCATCCCCACACCAAAAGCAGTCAATCGATTTCCCGTTATTAAATAAAATACCATCAAGTTTCGGGTAATTCAGATTTCGATGCAGAAAGAAAACTTTTGTATTGCATGAAACCTGTTGACTGCTTAATAAAAATATTAGACATCTTTGCGTAACGAGAAACTTCTCGAAGCTTTCATGCTTTAGAAACAAATTAAAACATTCATAATCGAATTCAGTAACTTCCCTATTAATATTTTCAATTAAAAAAAAACATTATCTTCTAAGACAGACAATGTGTAGCTTGTAAAGACATTAGGTATTTTTTTTAAGCAGGACAAGAGAAAAAATGAGCAGCGCCTTCGCTGGGAATCGAACCATGGACCTCTGGAATACGCGCCCAGCATGCAGACCACTACACCACGAAGGCACGATAAAAAGGCGGGAGAAATACCTTATATACTTCCCCTTTTAAAGGGCAACTGGGCTTTTTTATGGGACCCAATTACTGAATCCTGGCTGTGGAGAATCATCATACACCCCCCTTTTAGTTCGGGCGCCACTGTAGAGACATTAGGTATTTTTTTGGAAGCAGGAGAAAGGAAAAATGAACAAAGCCTTCGCCGGGAATCAAACCACAGACCTCTGGAATACGCGCCCAGCATGCAGACCACTATACCATGAAGGCATACTAAGCAGGCGGGACAAATACCTTCTAAGCTTTTCATGTATGGTATATTTCTACTAAGCTTAGGGAGTCTTCATGAATAATGACGATTTCGGATGAAAGAGGTGCTCACAAACAACTCTCAGATATGGAACTACATAGAAATCATTAATTTATCTTATTTTCTGTTCTACAGAAGCGAACTAAATTTTGAAATCGAGCAGGAAGAAAAACTAAACGTAGGAAGTTTTGCATGATTCTTAAAACGAAATTTATGTTAAAGCAGATAGATAAAGAAGTATTTTCCCATTTCCGTTCAGCATGCGAGATAAATTTAAATATATATATATATATATCTACACTTCTGAGTCAGACACGAAGAGAACACACTGCCAACTCCCCCGCTAGAAAGAATGTAAGTTACTTAATACCTTTCTGGCCTTTATATCTTCATGTACATTCACTGATCTTATTTATATTATTTTTCTATTTTATTTTATATTATTTTTATATTATTTTTATGTTCTCTTTGATTTGTTTTTGCAAAGTTTGCATTATTTATCTTTTTATAATCTTCTATGTTTATTTCAACTTTACTTTGATTTCGATTTCATAATGACAATTTCCAATGTTTAATTTCTACAAAATAATATAGTACTCAAATACATAAAAATGATAGTGTCGGGGACGATTACTCGAGTTTTACAAGATTTCTCTACAGTAATTGATTTTTACTCCAAATTGAATTGACTAAAATGCTTCATGAGAATCAGTTCTTTGAGTAACAACTATTCGCGGAAATATTTGGCCTGACTAGAATTGCCGGTTTGGCTTTAATTTATAACTCGAGTAAAGACGAAACACTTTCATATTTACGTATTTCTATCAATTATTGATCATTGAACGGGAGTTGGTTTGTTCCCCTTGAAAAGTCAACTAATTTCCGATCAATGACAATAATTACATGTTTTAATTTTTACTTTTACAATTGTAATATTATTCTTCGTGATGATTTAACTCCAGTCCCCGTTAAAACATTATTAACATTTTGCTTTCAAATTACTTCAAAACATCTTTCAAAATATAACTTACCAGTATGGATGCACACTTTTAAAATAATTCTACTTTAATTAAACTTAGGAGATAATATAATCAATTAATCAATACGGTTTAGGAAATAAATTATTATATATATATACATATATACATGAAAAAGAATATGAGCGCTAGGTTTCGGAGTGTCCATTTATTTTATATCCTTTATAAATTTGTGTGTGTGTGTGTGTGTGTGAATATGGCAAAGCCTCGAGGGCTATCTGCCTAAGAGGAGGGATGCCTTCGTGGAGGACTTTCTAAGGGAAACTGGCTCGTATACACGTTACACATGGGGAAAAACCACGAAAACGCCCATGCAGCCAGCCCGTTCGCGGGATTCGAGCCTCGGACCGAACTACCAGTGTTCAGCGATTTTACCGCTCGGCCGCTGGTGGGCCCTTTATAAATTTAGATTATACTTTATCTGGGGAAAAAAGCTATGTAAAGGTAACTACACAAAAGTAATAGATATTTTGTATTGCTTTATTTATTCATCAGCTTGCAATTGAAATTGTTATGAGTATCTTTTTAGAAAAATATTCTTAACATGTTCATAGATATCTTATCTTGTTATCGATCTTAAGAAGTCGTAAATAATTTAAATTGCATTTTTCAATAAAAATAAATAAGCAAATAAGCAAATAATTTTGGTTTTCAGATGATTTCTGATTTTAAAAACTTGTTATTTTTTGCATTCCAGGTATACCAGAAGAAAAAGGCCACTACGGGCTATGGCGTCTTTGCTCCATCAAAGGAAATTCGCCCGTCGAAACATGTGTTCATCCAGAGGATACTACATACCAACTTCCGACGTATGCGAATGCAGCGGGTGCTATATCCATCATACATTTGATACTTATCGCCTCTTTTGTAGTATTGGCAGTTATAAGGGTTCTGCAGATATCTAAGAATGCACCAGACCTGTACCTGGGCACGAAGCGGCTCTGCATTGTAAAGGTGGCCGTAGCCTTGATATGCGGTGAGTGGAAATACAACCAAGCGATTTCATTAGATATTAAAATATTTCATATACTGGTAAAAATGCGTCTACTAAGTGTATAGGCTACTGCTATGGCTGAAGGCTTGAGTCAGTGTACTGAATATCCCACTAGAATAGAAGCGAGTTATCGTTTTGGTCTGAAACATAAGATCAATACTAAAGCAGCTTAAAATAGGCTTTTTATTAGATCCTAAAATAAATAGAAAGCACTACTGTTGTGCTACAGACAAACCTACGCTACTTGAGAGTACAGCGGAACTACAATTATCAGAACCAATTGGGACGGGACCCGTTCGGATAATCAAAAATTCAGATAATTGGATTTTTTCCTAAGAAAGGGTTTACGTACACTAATTAATTCCTGTATGTACTGCATGTTAAAAATGGAAAAGAAAAAGAGGTTTTAATTAATAAAATGAAAAGGCAACATTTTTACGTACATGTTATATAGCGTACTATACAGTACTCACAAGTGCTGAAAGCCATTGCTTGTTGACCATCTCATTAAAAGTAAGCTGCTTGACTGTCTTACCCGTTTTCGGGCAGCCAAGTCGTGCATCCACTTGACAATAAGAAGTTGCATGTGGTCAGTCACACTCGGGCTGAGGCTCCATATACTTCAACGCAGTTTCGAGGCCGGCAAACGCTTCACTAGCTAATGGCCCTGCGTCTGCTTCAAATTCGACACTAAAGTCATCTTCTTCCTCGACACTGTCTTCTCTAACTCGTTCAGTAAATTCATTATTTAGAATTTGAAACCCAGGGTCTGACGAATAACACACTATCCATTCTGCTGTATCCTCAGCACTAACTTCTGAACATCCGCGAATTTCCAAAAGAATGTTTCGTAATTTCTCAAGTGACACGTCATCCTCATCTTCTCCTGTCTCTTTCTTTTCCTTTGAGCGTCTTTTTCCTTTTCCTTCTCTTCTATAGTTGATTCAGAAAAATTCCGCAATTCTGAAAATGATTCGGATAATCAGCCATTCGGATAGTCGGAGTTCGGATAATTGGAGTTGTACTATATTTAAATTAACATAAGGTAAATTCCAACCTATGACATACAAACATTGGTCGATGGTTTTGATGAGTCAGCTACATATTTACACACGCACTACTTTCCCTTTTAAAGAAAAAGGGAAGAAGCGACCTCATTTACGACGTTGCTATGGATTAAAATTTTGGAAGCTCCAAATAAATCTAAACTGGGGGAAAAATTAAATGTTCTATAAACGTGAACCTGTGAATGTTGCAGCTTCACATAACTTTTCGCAGCTACGTATTACTGATTCTGACTTTTTATTGAAAGATTACTGATTCTGACTTTTTATTGCAGCTTCACATAACTTTTCGCAGCTACGTATTACTGATTCTGACTTTTTATTGAAAGATTACTGATTCTGACTTTTTATTGCAGCTTCACATAACTTTTCGCAGCTACGTATTACTGATTCTGACTTTTTATTGAAAGATTACTGATTCTGACTTTTATTGCAGCTTCACATAACTTTTCGCAGCTACGTATTAACTGATTCTGACTTTTTATTGAAAAGTTACTGATTCTGACTTTTATTGCAGCTTCACATAACTTTTCGCAGCTACGTATTACTGATTCTGACTTTTTATTGAAAGATTACTGATTCTGACTTTTTATTGCAGCTTCACATAACTTTTTCGCAGCTACGTATTACTGATTCTGACTTTTTTATTGAAAGATTACTGATTCTGACTTTTTATTGCAGCTTCACATAACTTTTTCGCAGCTACGTATTACTGCAGTGATTCTGACTTTTTATTGAAAGATTACTGATTCTTTTTCTGACTTTTTATTGCAGCTTCACATAACTTTTCGCAGCTACGTATTACTGATTCTGACTTTTTATTGAAAGATTACTGATTCTGACTTTTTATTGCAGCTTCACATAACTTTTCGCAGCTACGTATTACTGATTCTGACTTTTTATTGAAAGATTACTGATTCTGACTTTTTATTGCAGCTTCACATAACTTTTCGCAGCTACGTATTACTGATTCTGACTTTTTATTGAAAGATTACTGATTCTGACTTTTTATTGCAGCTTCACATAACTTTTCGCAGCTACGTATTACTGATTCTGACTTTTTATTGAAAGATTACTGATTCTGACTTTTTATTGCAGCTTCACATAACTTTTCGCAGCTACGTATTACTGATTCTGACTTTTTATTGAAAGATTACTGATTCTGACTTTTTATTGCAGCTTCACATAACTTTTCGCAGCTACGTATTACTGATTCTGACTTTTTATTGAAAGATTACTGATTCTGACTTTTTATTGCAGCTTCACATAACTTTTTGTAGCTACGTATTACTGATTCTGACTTTTTATTGAAAGATTAGACAACAAGTAGAAGAAAAAATAACAACTTTCGTATTTTTGTCCATTCCAAGAGTAGAATTATAAAACATAATTGAGTTTAAAACCTTACTTGTCTTACTTATTACATTGTTCTCCTTTTCATTTCGTATTTCTCAAAGATACTTAAAAGGCGTACAGAAATTAACTTAACGTAAAAGAAAACGACACTCGTAGTTAAAAATACAGCAGATTTTAGCTGCATTGTTGAGCAATTATAATTTGAATTGATATATTCTCCAGTCATATTACAAGAAATTAAACACAGGTATAAGCAAAACCCTGTAACAGAGCTCCTTGAGATCTTTGGTGGGATAGATTTGAATTAACTTCTAGAAAGTTAAAGTTTGGTAAGAATAAATATATGAAAATTACTCGTTCTGAGTAAAGAATTTAAGGAGTGTGAAATGATACATAATTATTGAGTGTCGTTAAGATTATATACATCTCTATTTAATTTATATACATCCGTGTCAAGAAGTTTACAGATATATATATATATATATATATAAGGCATCTGCAGTTTGCAGAACAACAAAGTGCACATGCCTTGATTCATTATTCTTGTAAGTCTTGTAGAACTGATACGTTAATTTAGTTGTAAACAAAATTCTCTAACTATCGCTGATATGCATGTGTATACCAGTCATGAATTTAAATTAAGTCGTGAGGTGACAACTGTCCTGTAACTATTCGAGACTAGTCGTGTAAATACATGTGCTTAAACTGTGGCATTGATCAAAAAGTCAGTATAAATTTGAAAACTTAATAAATCACGGAATAATGTAGATAGAGAAGTAAAAATTGACACGCATACTTAATGACATGGGGTTTTATTAGAACCAAAAAAAAAAAAAAAAAAGTTCAAAAAATGTCAGACAGATTACTGTTATCGGGCCTTTTTTCTTCTAGGAAATGCGTGATTCTGGTTTTTGTAACTGCTACCGTGACGGGTGAGAGGTACGCCGATATGTTACAGAATTGCATCGTCCAAAGCTTGGCTGATAAACCCTGCTGGAACGTACGATTTTTATGCAGGATGGCGCTCCACCCCATATTGCTAGACGCGTGAAAAATCTCTTGCGCGCGTCGTTTGGTGATGATCGTGTGCTCAGCCGCCACTTTCGTCATGCTTGGCCTCCCAGGTCCCCAGACCTCAGTCCGTGCGATTATTGGCTTATTATTGGCGATTATTGGGGTTATCTGAAGTCGCAATTGTATCGTGATCGACCGACATCTCTAGGGATGCTGAAAGACAACATCCGACGCCAATGCCTTATCATAACTGCGGACATGCTTTACAGTGCTGTTCACAACATTATTCCTCGACTACAGCTATTGTTGAGGAATGATGGTGAACATATTGAGCATTTCCCGTAAAGGACATCATCTTTGCTTTGTCTTAATTTGTTATGCTAATTATTGCTTTCCTAATAAAACCCCATGTTATTCTAAGTATGTGTGTCAATTTTTACCTCTCTACCTACATCATTCCGTGATTTATTAAGTTTTCAAATTTATACTGACTTTTTGATCGCCCGGTATATATCTCATAGTGTTATGCAATTTTAAATCTTATAAGGTATTTCTCCCGCCTTCTTGGCATGCCTTCGTGGTGTGGTGGTCGGCACACTGGAAGCGTATTCCAAAGGTCCGCGGTTCGATTCCTGTCAAAGATGTTGCTCATTTCTCATCTCTCTCGCTTCGAAATAACCTAATGTCTCTAGAGTGGCGCACGAACTAAAAAAGGTGGTGGATGATGATTCTCTACCACCAGGATTTGGCGATTGGGTCCCCTAATCTCCAGTCGCCCTCTAAAAAGGGGGAGTATATAAGGTATTCCTCCCGCCTTCTCGGCATGCCTTCGTGGTGTGGTAGTCTGCATGCTGGGCGCGTATTTCAGAGGTCCGCGGTTCGATTCCCGGCGAAGGTATTGCTCATTTTTTAACTCTCCTACTTCCAATTAACCTAATGTTTCTATAATCTAAAAAGAATTACATTCCAGTTTCTGTACACAACGTATAAAATGAAAAGAAAATGCTTTTAAATATCAGTCCAAAATTAAAACATTATTCTAAAATTCAAAAGGTAGATAACCGCATGCATGTTAATAGTGGAATCTGAGGAAATTTAAATTAGATTTCATCCATTAAATCGTTCTCAATTTAATTTTAAATGCGACATTAAATAAATGTAACAGCTATTGTGATCATTTTCTTTTAGTTATCCTTTCTATTACTGTATCTATTTTGGCGAGTGTTGGCGAGGGACGATTTCGCCAGTTTAACGTCTTCAAAGGATGGGCATTTTGGATTCAGGTAAGAAACGATATCGTATTTTCAATCTTAATACTCTAAACTTACCGAAATTACATTTATTCACAATACATATTCATTGACTTTAATATACGATTTGCATCTAAGGAATTTTAATTCAAGGAACGCATGTATATATAAGCAAAATACAAGAGATTAACATCTTCCATGGAATAAAACCATATTCATGTTAATTTTGCTATGATTGCAACGACGCGGCTATGATTCTCTCCACTTATTTATCTTTTATTAAGAATTCTAATTTGCACAGATAGCATCTACTAAATGATACTGGTTAAACAAAAATTACAGGTTTCATTTTATTTTTTTTTACTATAATGTTTTAAGATAGTAATCTTTCCCCTCCTAAGATCATTTATATCAGAGAAATTTCGAGAGGAAAATCTGATACCAAGTACTTGTTTTTAACTGTGAACTAAAAGGGAATTAATATGCTAATGTAATTTTAAATCGACAAATAAAAACCTCTTGAGGTATTCATCATGAAACTACTATATAAATAAATTTCTTATGAAGCGAAAAAATATTTTGTGAAATATAAAGGGCCACATTTCAGAATAAAAATCATTGCACAAAAAGTATAGTTTATGAATGACTTTAAAATTACTAATGAACATCTTCACCTTTAAGAGAATGTATATTGTTCACCTTATTAATGTATTTATTCTCGTGAATTTGTATCTATGGCTAAATTGTATTTTCTTAAATTCATTACACATGTTAATTAACTAACGAAGTCTGTATTATATTAATTTTTAATTTGCTGAAGTATCCGATTTTGCTCAGGCTTTATGCTAGGTAAAGAGACTTCATTTAGGGGGATGGAGATAGTTAATTCTAAATATTAGGTAGACAGTGATTTTCCTTTTATTTTGTTTCAAGGTGAGTTGTGCAAACTTTTACTGACGAACTTGAATAAAACTATAGATTTTGTTTCGATGGAAAACAAACATTATTTTCTTCTCACCTGTTATCGCAAAGCTTGAGGATACATATTTTTCGTTTGTCCATCCGGTGCGTAAACAAACAAGCTATTTGGCGTGCCGACTCTCGAGCAAGTCACGTATAACTGGCTATTTTTCTTAAACATGTAATTTACTTGAATCTATATAAACTTTTGAGACAGAGTGTAAATACCTTATGCATTGCAGAGTGGCTGCAGAAAGCTTTCAAATCGCTGAGTTTCTAATCCAAAGTTCGTTAAATTAGCTTTATTTGTATAGTAAATGCGAACCCTGTGGGGTGGTTTCTGAGAGGTCTTATGTACAGAGTTACCTTCCTCTTGCTCTGAAAGACAAGTGTGCCAGATTTTCATCAAGATGAGAGTAAAACTGCAGATTTGTGTGATAGACAAAAACACGGACACTCTTTTTACTTCCTTGTACGAAGTAAAGGAAGTATTGTAATCACGAAAATTTCCAGGTACCATATTTCAACGAAAATATCTATTTCCGCCGCTATCAAATGCAGTTTAACGATGTTTATGTGTGACAGCTGTACGTAAGGACAGAATAAAGGACTCTTTTTCCCTAAACGAATTATAAAACTGATTTAAAATGGATTCAGGAGAGATTTTTTCCTTGGCGCCTGTACGTACGTACGCATGTACGCATCTATGTATGTATCTCGCATAACTCAAACACGAGTAGCCTTAGAAAGTTGGAATCTTGTATATAGGACTGCTATATAATATGTAGTTGCGCACCTCCCTTTCTATCCGGTTAAGGTTTTTATGCCTTTAGTTAACCTACATCCAATAATTGTAGAATTATCTACACTTTAAAAGTTGTTTAAGTGCGTCTAAGCCTAATTTTTGTTTACTATAGCAGCCATATTTGTTTACATTTGAAACTTAGCAGAATAGTGTATTATTAATAATAATTAGATTGACAGCATAATTCCATTATGCTGTCAATCTAGAGAAACTAAGCTTCGCAACAACAAAGATAACCTCTTCTTTTACTATTGCGAATTAAATGATGCTTTACCCATTCTGGAATTAACATTTAAGTTATTAAATTTACCCATCTATTGACTCAACATAGCGTCCACAACAATTTAAGCAAAGGCACTAATTTTAAAACTTGAATTGTTAAACATTATTACAAAAAGTAAAAGTAAAAATAAATCTGAAATTCTTTAGAAGTGCACTGAAAAAATTCTTTCAAAGTTTATGTAAATGCAAATCTAATATTCTGATTTTCTTGCTTGATACAGATTCTAATCATATCTGTGGATATCGTTCTTCTTCTGGTATGCGCTTTTGAGAACATACAATATTGGCAAGTCCGTATGGTGGAACCTCCACCTCCAGATCCAACTGACTTATATCCAGAAACCTTCATAACTCCAGACTACGAGATACCTACGGATCTCAGGGGTGAGCGAATAGTTTACGTCAAAGACGCCAGTGTACAGTCACAACTGGACGGAGATGACGGAGACAACTACCTACAGGTGACTTAGTTTTCAGTTTAAATAATTATGAATGGAACCTATTACATTCAGGATAATCCTCATGCGTTTTAATTTTAGAATAATTAATGACAGTTAAGTCAAATTGCTGGCAATGATGGAACCATGAATAGATAAGATAGAAGTATGTTACATTTAAAGCGGCTTCGCGAAAATTCTAGAAAATATGAATTTGTAATGTCCCTCGTTACTCTGTCTGTGATAAAATGTCGAGGAACCTAGTGAACTAAGTAGCGACTTATCGCTGAGTTCGAGTACGTACAATGCAGACTCGACAAAGGTTAAAATAACCATTTATTCACTCAAAGAAAAATAACAGATGGCCCCCTTCTTAGGCTTACAGGAAAGCCTCCAATCGGGCTTTTAAGTTAGGAAAATAAGAAACTAATTTAATACTAACTATAATAGACTTAGCCGAAGCTAGACACAAATATCTAAAGTAGTTGGCTAATCTAAGGTAGTTGGCTATCTAAGGTAATTTAATCTAGCCAGTGATTATCAAGAGGCAAGTACAATACGGACGAGGGTAAAAGAATCAAGAATGACTTAGTCAGAAGACAAGCGCGTGCCACTAACGACACCTAAGTACTCTCTTTCGAAGTAAGTTGAACTTCTTTTAAAACTGCTTCTAACTCGTTTGTATTTAACGCGATTCTAAAAACTCATTCTGGTAGGGAGTTGTAAGTGGGAAACAAGAATTGAAAAGAAAGGGTTTCAGAATTAAAAATAACTGCTATAAAATTAACATATACCTTACAAATTAATTTTAAATATTGTACATTTACAATACATATTGTCCATTTTATTCATCTTCCAAAGTGATTATTCGTCTCAGAAAGTTTATCTCCTGCACTCACAATTTTCATTGGCTGTTGCTTATATAAACGCTATCTCTGTAGACGGGTATATTTTCTCCCTCCTTCCAGCATGCCTTTGTGGTGTAACGGTAGAACACTCGGCGCATATTCGAAAGTTCCAGGTTCGAGTCCCGGCGAGAACACTGCGCATTTTTCTAGTCTCCTGCTTAAAAATAACCTAATGACTATACAATACATCGGCATTGTGGCTACTAATATTCTTTTTCTTTTGGCTACGAATTTCGCTTGTAGGTGGCTAGCGAAATATCTAAAATATTTTTACTTGTGAACGGCATCTAAAAAATGCCCAGTGCTGGTGCGCAATGGATAAAAAAACTCAGTTGATGAAAACCACTCTTTAACCATCCCGCATTCGCTGTTACACACATTTATAAAACTAAAAAAGATATTGTTACGAAATGTACAGGTAAGATGGCTTCCCCGCAAAGCAGTTTAGGGTTCCCATAACATGCCAAAAGAGGGAAGAGTTGCCACATTTGGCGAGAAATCGCCCATTTGGCGACATGGGCGGATGGAGAACCTTCTGGAACGAATTCTTACCGGATTAGCCCAGAATGTTTTCGAACACAAGTTGAAGGCTATATAAACCCTGCTGATCCGCAATCAGAGTGTGCGTGCCTCGTCTAGAGTGCGAGATAGTCTCGAGTTAGTCAGCCCGTGCGGAGTCGATCGAGTTGACAGCCAGGCAGCGAGTGCCGAGTGGGTCGTCGAGTGCATCGAAAGAGTCTCTTATTGTATCGCTGTTAGTGCATCGTCGAGAGAGTGTGTTAAGCTCCGGGAACGGCTGAACCGAAGAGTCGAAAGCTGTGCTCTGTGTGTCGTCGAGTGCATCGCAAGTTGTAGCGTGGAGAATCTCGATATTACGTGGAGTTCCGAGAACGACCGAGCAGAGTCGGGAGCTGTACTCTGGTGCTTTGCAGTGAAGCTGTCTCCACCGTTATAGCCCGATAACCTGAAGGCTGTGTCGCTGATTGTTCCAGCGAGTTTATAGTAGATCTTCGACGACTCGAAAGCGTGACTTTGGAGCTGTCCTGATTAATACCGGCCAATAAAGTGTGTCTCGATACTGCATCAAGTAGTGTCGTCGTAATTCACTCCAAATCTACACGAACCCGTACGAACGTGAAAGAAGAAAATAGCGTAACAACTGGTGTCAGAAAAAAAAAACGCAACAATACCTATACCTACTATGCATTAGAAAAATATTATTGAGTATAGGAGTACGGAAAAACGGTAGATGAAAATATTTTGCTTCCCTAAAGAGGAAAAAAAATGAAGATATTGTTTCAGTGCAAAGACTATATATTCAACAATGTTAATTTTCTTACTTTCTAAGTGCTAATTTCCTACTACTAAAAGTGCTAATTTTTCTAACCCAATTTTTCTAACTTTCCGTTAACGTATACCGTAACAAAAATATTGTATTTCTGATACATGCTAAAAGTAAAATATTTAATGTTAAATATTCAGTATTTGTATCTTACTTTGTTTTGACTATAAAACAGTGAAAACATAATTTTGACGATTTGCTTTCATTGTTGAGAAACATCTTATCATGCAGTAGGTCTGTACTATCGTAATGGTAATTGCTGTTTATAGTTTAATACTATTTATAATTTTAAATATAAATCTCACACGCGAAAATCTGTATTCATAGATTTAAAAACCAAAGGGTTAAAAGATTTTATGCTGAAAAGAGGAAAGTCCAGCCGCACCAGAGAAATTGCTGCATTTATGAGACAGTCCATTTCGGAATATAAAGTTTCTTTCTTATTTATAATTCTATGTTAAAGCATTTCTTGTGATGCTTCTTATTAAATAAACTATAAACTCTATAGTTTAATACTATTTACAAATTTTAAATATTCAGTCAAATTATTTTGTTTTGTAATGCATTTAAATAATATGGAGATATTAAAAAGTACTGAAAGTAGCCTGAAATAAAAACAGACTGCTATTTTAGTTTTCCTAACTTGGGTCTAAAATGGTTTGCTAACACTACTTAAAATACTTCCTTACATTGCACTGATAGAGACATTTGTCAATACGTAATAATAATACAAAGTTTTATTTACACATAACTGTAATTATTGTGAATTTCCTTTCTTTAATTTCTGATATCTGTAGAGAAATTAAAATGTAATGTGTAACGTATAATATTATGTTATCATATGTAATGTATAATTTTGAAGAAATATCAGAATAGTTTTAAATAAACTGAGATTTAAATGTTCTTTATGTATGCATGATAAATTAATTTGCTGACAAGGCAACATGACAAGGCAATTAAATATTCAGTAATAAGTACTCTTATCACTTTTACTTTGATTAAAGGTGTTCTATAATCTTGGCTAATATTTATTTCAAGTGGCTTTCTTAGTAATTATCAGTATAAGAACTTAGCAGTGGAATATAATGATCTGTTTTAGTCCAGCTAGATTTAACATTATCATTCCGCAAAATCGTGATCCTGTGTATTTTACCGCAAAGTATGTGTTACTAGATTATTAAGGTATCAAAGTATTTGATGTGAAATTTGATAACTCGTAATAACACAGTTTTATGTAAATGCTCTGCAAATCATTAAAATGGATTATTATATTATCATAAAACTTTCATTAAAAATCCGTATATCTTTAATTCAAACGTATTGCTGTGTTAATTAGTTTTGAATGTCTCATGCTATTGCTTATGTATGAATTTAGTGATTATTGAAGATGAAATGTATTATTAATGTTTAGAGCAGTATATGTTACGCCTGTTTTCTAACGTGCGTAGAACAAATAAGCCTGTTCATAGAAATTGGTAAAAAGAAAAGCATTATGACAGCAGAAATTGGTAATAAGCCACACAGAACAATAGACAGAAAAGAAACCCGCATAAAATGCATTTTGAATTCAAAACAAAAGGTCTTTGAACATTCCCAGTTCTCTTTAAAAACTTAAATGGTTTCATGCATTTATCCGTTTTTTTTTTTTTTTTTTTTTTTTTGTGCTCTTTTAGTGTTTCAACATGCATGAATAATGAACTATTAAATTCCATAATACTAATTGTTCATCACAATATGAATTTCCAATCTGATATTCAAATAGTGATATAGCCATTATAGTGATATAGACATTTCTACTTTCTTGTACTAAATAAAGGAAGTATTACAATCGAGAAAAATTTTGGCTATCACATTTCAGCGAAAATATGTATTTTGATCTCTCTTGAATCCATTTGAAAGATGTTTCTGCCTAACATCTGTACGTACGGACAGAATAAAAGACTCTTTTTTCCAAAACGGATTGTAAAATGGGTTTAAAATGATGGATTCAGAACAGATTTTTTTTTCGATGACGTCTGTACGTACTTATGTACGTATTTATCTCGTAAAACTCAAAAAGAACAGTCTTAAAACGTTGGAATTTCGTGTATAGGACTGCAATAACATGGAATTGTGAACGTCCCTTTTCCGTTGCTATCGGCCGCACCAAAAATGTATATACCAAAAGTATATGTATATGCATATGAGACTTTTAATAAGTTTGTAAAGAATATTGAGTTCAATTAAAACGGTTTTGAAGTCTCAGTGAATTTGTTAGAACAAAACATGCTTACGTTGTTCTAGTTGATCAACTTGGTTTGAAGCTTCAAAACACTTTTCCCTTGACAAGTTCTGCTTGAAACTCTGAACAGAGCAGGTTAACAAAAAATTTTTTTGTTATCTGTTTTTACCATTTTTCCTGTTCTAAAATTTTTTACTTCTTAAATTGTCTTTTTCTTAAATACTTCACTTTTTACAACGTGTTTCTGGAAACAAGATAGGTTACCTTCAAATATTTAAGCGGCTTTTGTTAGGTTTTAAATTCCTTACTTATTTGAATTAAGTTTATAAAAATTTAGCAGCTCAAAGCGCTAATTTTATCTTATTTGTTCTTTCTTTTTTTTTAACAAAAGTACTTTTGACTACTTTATTATATTCTTGAAAATATATATATATATATATGTATGTATATATGTAATGTAAGAAAGGAGAACAAAATAAAAAAGACCAGTGTTTCTTATATTGCGGGTTAAGATTTTTATGCTTTTATTAAATCTGCATGCAGTAATTGTAGAATTATCAAGAATTTTAAAGTTCTTTAAGAGCCGTTATTTGCTTACATTAAAACTCTTATTACAACTGTGAATTCTGCACCAATTTTAGTTTCTTTTTGCCGCGTGAGACCAAAAGTAAACTTGTTTTGTACCACGAAAACTCTGTCTTCTTATCTGCTAGCCGAATTGCTTGTTTTTGCGTATAAACCAACTTTAATTTTAATTTTTAAAAAATGCATTTTTTAACTGTTTTAAACTGTACTTGGTGTTTTATGTTTTTCTGTATTTTACAATTTTGAGTGAAGCTACATATTTTGAAATTGTCTGTACTTTTGCCTTGCCGCAAAGTGAGAACTGAGAAATATGAATGCGAAATATATATCTAATGAAATTCGACGAAATAAGTTTAAATGAAATGCAGCAAAAATGTGTGTAATTTAATAGGCCGTACAAGTAAGTCCACATCAGAATTTTTATATTAATAAATGTGGCAGACATATTAGAATAATCTAGTACTACTCTTATTTTCAAATACCACACATCCATTCAGAAAGCTCGTAATGCAGTGAAGCATATTTCATTATTTCTTATTTTTCATTGTGTTAATTTAAGTGACGTATTTTTAGCGTATTACGTACAATATACTTTCATTCTAAAAAAAAAGATGTCTTAATCAATCTGCTTCGAAATGCGTAAGTTTTAAATTAAGACCTTGTTGTAAGAAGTTTCATTTCAATGCGCAGAACATGCAGAGTTATAACATATGCTTATGAATTTCTTTTTTTGTTAATGAAAAAAGAAAGCTACACATTCAATTAATTATATCCGTGGTTCCTACATGAAAAAATAATTTAAAGGTAACTTTTTTTGAAGTGTCTAAATGTATTGAACATATCAACGTACGATTTGAACTGAAATCTTTTTAGCCCAAAGGGATAATTTCCCCAGAACGGCTATTAATTTCGTTCTGGCATTTTGCGTCGATTCACTATAAACGACGAATCACTTTTTAAATTGTTGCCACCAAATATTAAAGTCCTGTATTATATTTAAAGAAATTAAATAATGAAGAATCTGCATAAATGTATGTATGTTTCTCGCACTGTAATAAAACAGGTGTCTTGAGCCATCCAATTTTGAATAATGTCCGTCTCCACCCGAATCTGGAAGCCCTAATTTGGAATTTGTTTTATTGTCTCTTTCATATTTTGTAAAGAATTTATGAATTTTTGATTAAGTAGCTCAACGATTTCATAGCAAGCAATAGCAACATTGTACGAAAAAAAAAAAAAAAAAAAAAATTATCTCCAGCGCTCGAGGCTGTGTATCGGAAATTCTAAATATATGCTCATTTTAAATATTTTGTAATATTGCTGTTGAATTGAATTTTATGGTTTAAGTACGAAAAACATGATATTTAATAAATAAAACTAACACAGAAAATGTTTAAAAAAAATGCCCCTTTGGGCGTAATATAAAATCTGAAAGCTTTCAGATTTTTTTATTTCTTTTCGTTATTTTCTGAAAGAAAAAAAAAATAAAATTTGATCTCATTTATGAAATGAGGATACAAAAAAATTAAAAGTTCTGAAAATTATAAACATCTGCTAATTATGTGACACTTTATTCAGAAATAACTGTTAAGTTTTCCTTTTAAATTTTTATCTAAAACTTTAAAAAGAAAAGTCTATGTATAATTAATCACTGCTTTTTTCCTAGGTACCTGATGCCACCTATCGAACAAATGAGAAATCACGCAAGAAGGGCAGAACATTTGTCGAACCCGGTGAGGTACATTTCGACACAAAAGGAGCTACTGTCATCACTATTAGCGGACGCGACAGCCCACACCCTCGTAAGAAAAACACCGCACACCCTACTCGTGTCATATGAAACCTTGACTTTGGTGCAATAATGACAGAACAAACAAAGTGTCCATGCAAGAGGAATTAATAGACTACATTGTGAGAAACGATTCGTTTTTTCAAGAACTGATGTTAAGGATATTTTAAGGACATTAATACCATAACTAACAATTTCATCGATTATTAATTATTTTTACGAAAATATCAATAAACCATTTGGAATTTTACTTTGTCATTCGGATGAAAAATACCGCACTGAATTCTGCATAATAACATCATCAGTGGAAAACTACTATTCTCATTAACTGGTAAGTGTTCAACAGTTAAAGGATGATCTTGTGGTAATAGAGATATGGAAGGCGCTTTGCGCCCGCATGTCTACGGAAAAATACGGCAACCCTAAGGAAAAGTTTTATTGGGTGTCGAGGGACGGTATGCATACGTGGACCTGAAATAAAGATAATTTTTATTGTGTATTATGTATGGTGTGAGAATATTCAGTGTGATATGGACAAGGAGGATCGGGTAGATACCAATATGGTTTCTACATTGGTGACCCGGACGTGATTTGAACACAAACCTTCTGATTAGATATGGGAACGAGGCTGAGGATAGGGTAGATACCACTATGGTTTGTATAACCTAAATAAAAAAAAATTCTGAAACACTTCATTACATATCTGTGAAATTTAAATACATTCAGTGCATTTAAAGGCATCGTCCATACTAGATCAAAATCATGTATATGCATTATTTGTTGCTTTACTTATTTACATTTTTGTTGTTGTTTTACAATGATTTACTTGAAAATAATTGATCTGAAAGGGACGCATTTGGAGGTTGAAACTAGGGGTAAAATCCCAGTATATGATATAGTCTTGGGCGATTTTGAAAACTGTCGCCGACACCAAATGACTCATTTACTGCTCATTATAAATACCGCGTTTACTGCTCATCATAATGTCGCCAAATCCCGTGTGTACCGTCTACTAGGATTAAATAGAAATTTGGTTCCAAAAAAGAGTAAATCGTTGTAAAGAAAGTTAAAAAAATGCAAATAAGCAAAACAGCAAATAATGCATGTATACATGATTTTGATGTAGTACGGATGATGACATTAAATGAAATTAATTTAATGGATTTAAATTTCACAGATATGCCATGAAGTTTTTCAGAATTTTTTAAAATTTAGATGATCCATTAACTGTTGAAAACTCACCAGTTGATGAGAATAGATGAATCTATCAGATATTTAACCATTTCAACGTTAAGTGCTTTGACCGAGATGCAACCTGGGTTCGGTTGTCACTGTGAAATGTAGAGGCATAGACTTCGTAGACGTTCTAAATCTCAACATGTTAGCTATAAATTTTACAAGTCGTGACATTTTCTGTTTTTTTTTTTTTTTTTTTTTTTTTTTTTTTTTTAAGAGTTTAATATTTCAGTTTGTTTAGAAAACCGCGGAAAATAGTTAAAACGCACTATAACACAAAAGGAAGTACTTTTTAAGAAACTAATTAGGTACTTTTCTGTTATCGGGACCACATTCAGAAATTATCAATGTATGCACATGTATACAGGTATGAGTATGTGGCCCTTTTTCAAATTTTGCTTACATTTGCTGTCCCAGAAGAAAAGAAAGAAAATTCAAGATAAATTAATATTTAAGGTTTAATTTGAACAATGCATTGCATAAAATTACTATAAATATATTTCTGCAGTTTAAAATATAAAAATATCAATTGCAAATTTTTAGATAAAAATTTAGCAAATCAATAAAAATAATTTGGCTTCCACTTCATGGCAAGGTCATTACCACGAGATTATTTTACTCCCAGTTAGTTTGTAAATCTGAGTAAAGGGGGGATACATATTCAGAGTAGTCAAACTTAGCTTGACTAGTTTATCTATTTCACTGAATATGTACTGAACCTTTTAGACAGATTTACAAACTAATTTTGGGTAAAATAATCTCAAGGTAACGGACTTGACATGAAGTGGACGACGAATTATTTTTCTAATGATTTTTAAAGAAAAAACTTCTATAATTAATTTTTATCATGAATATAATACACAAATAATTCATATTTAAAATAAACTTTTTTATTTAAAAAATAAATTAGGTTACAAAACAAGGAGGTTGAATAACACGAAACTTGAAAGGGACAGGCATTTTTGCCTAAGATCACACATTTTTAAGATTTATATCTAAAACATTTCAATTGATTTTTTTTATATATTTTGACTTCTATAAATTTATCTATAGTCATCTTTATGCAATGCATAGCCAAATTAAACTTTAAACATAATTTATCTTGAATTTTCTTTCCCTTCTTCTGGAACGACATATGTAAGCAAAATTTGAAAATGGTCCTTGTATATACACATATACATACGTACATTTTTACATGCGTACAGGAACACATACATTCAACATACATGCATATATATATATCTATATACGTACATTTCTGGTCCTGATAAGAGAAGAGTACGATAATTATAATTTCAACAAGAGTATAAAATATATAACTTTAGCAAGAATACGAAACATACTAATTTCCTGTTAACGAATATTTATTGCTGTTAGTCTGGAACTAGATGAGCGAGAAATTTAAAAAGAAGGGGGGGAAGGGAAGAATCTGAAAGGCTTCAGATTTTAAGTTGCGTCAAAGGTGCGTTTTTCTTACATTTTGTGTGTTACCATTATTTATTAAATATTAAGCATATCTTTAGAATTTCCGATACACAGTCTCGCGCGCTGGATAATTGTTTTTTTCTGTACACCGTTGCCATTGCTCGCTTTGAAATCCTTAAGTTTGTTAATCAAAAATTCGGTATGAAATTTACAAAATAATTATTTTATTACGAAAACATTATTTTGGCGGAAAATTTACAGAACATAGTTTTAAACAATTTTACAAAAATTCATTATCTTGCCTTTTGAGGCATATTAACCAAAAATCATGAATCATGTTTAGCTCGAAAATTTTTTATGTACACGAATTTAATCAACCAACTAAAAATCGCGTCATAAAATTTAAGGAACAAAAGGAGAGAAATACTTCGCTCGGAAATGCAAAAAATAAATCACGTTTCGTTTCTTATTTGAAAATGAAATTTATTAAAGTCAAGAAATAGGAAGGGAAAATTTCCGTTCTCATGCGCCTTTCACGAACTTTACACCCATTTCCGGAAAGGCCCCTTAACTTCCACTTCTCTCACGATTTGATGCGAATTTCGTGACTATTCCATTTACAACGAAACGTGACGTGTAGATTTATTCTCAGACAGAAAATATACGGGGAAAATATTAGATATTTCGTGCATTTTCCTTCTGATATAGTGCAAGAATGTAGAGAGAATGTATATCATTGCATTTCTCTTTTAGAATGTGGCTCACCTTGAATTCATGGAAGGTAAAATATATGCATTTAACCAAAACATTAGAATTATTCTACTGCTCCAGAATGCCTTCTCACAAATTACATTATTTTAGCATATCAAAACTGGTAGACCTTGAATTACAGTCATATAAATAAACAAAAGAAAATTTGTTATCTTTTTTTTTTCATGAACTTAAAAACTTTCATACTCATGAACTTAAAAAGCTGTGCATGCTTCACATATAAGAGGCGTCATATTCTTACCAATTAAAATTTGCTAATGCAAAGCCTACAATCTGAGGAACATATAAAGATACACCTAAGCGAATTGAGCAAATAAAAAGAACTTAACAAAAATTTCAATCTGAAAACTTCGTGTTACGGTATAACCTTTCAACGAATAGCTTACTGTCAAAAATTTAAATGCAGGAAAAAATTAAAAGTATAAAAATCGTATAAATAACATTTCTTTTTTTTATCTTAAATAAAATAATATATGCTGTTAATTCATTAAACTAAACCTTTTCTGTTAAATTGAAGTTAAAAGTTAACTCGGTTTTGTTTCGGATATTTTGGCATTTCGTTTTTTTTAAACGTAATATGATGTAAAAAAGAAAAACATGAAAAATTAGAAAATGTACTTTTATTTGAAGAAAAAGAAAGGAAAAGAAAGAAAGTTAAATAGAAAGGAAAAATGCGTAAATGGGTTCAGAATTTATAACGTTTTTGAATGGTTGAATTCAAATTTACTTTTCAGTTGAACGTTTAGAATAATAGGCAATATTCTAACTATGGTGTAAAAGAACAGGTAATACAAAATATTCTTAAGTATATTGAAAGAAGTCCAAATAAAATGAACATACATATGACTAGCTTAACGATGGAATCAGCAATGCATTTTTACAGTGTCGAAGACAAATGAAAGATCTTTTTCATCCCGAATGGGCAACAACGTCTGTTTAAGTCAGATGCGATTTATTGAAGCTGAAAATAATAAACAAAAATGTGAAATATAACGATATATTATTCTTATACTTTCTAATGACCATTGGAAAAGCAACAGAAGCTAAGAATATTATAATTTTGAGGGAAGATGAAAAAGCACTTAACTAAGGTTTATTAACGTAATGCCTAAAATAGTTAAGTTTTTTTTATGATTTAAGAAACATATTTTTGACACTTAAGGAGAGATAAATAACACTTTTTTGTTAATTTTTGGTATCTAACTCTTTTTTATTCTAATTTCTTATTGCTCGGTTTTACAGGAATGTAACTGTCATGTTATACTATGATCAAACATATATTTTAGATCAAAGACTGTAAGTTTTCGACGGATTTTCTAGTACAGAAACGTTTCCTCTAGACGAGGAAAAAGTACTGTTTCCATAAGGTTCTAATTTATAAACTTATCAAAATGGATAGGCTTCGTGAACTTATACAGCTCATTTACTTTTTTCCAACCAACAGGACTTTAACGGATTACTAAAATAATGCATTCTCACATATAGACAAACAGAGACTAGACTACCTCAAGGCTCCTGCTTAGGGCCAATTCTTTATATTTTTTATACAAGTGACTTCCCCAAGCAACATTACTATCCTCATTGAATACTTTCTTGTTTTGTTAGGATACAACCGTGGTAGCTATTTCTATTCAAACTAAGACTGCAGTCAAAAAAGTCCAAACCTATGTTAATGCTATTGAAACTCTGGTGCAAAAGCTTAAGAATACCACATTCAGACATTATTCAAACCTTCCTCTAAATAAAAATTTTTAAATGTACAGGATTATTATTTGCCCAATTCCCTATGCATCTGTAACATTATCAGCTGCGAATTGGTCGTATAT